AAGCCAATGGGCAGGTCGAGCGCCTCAATGGAACACTTTGGCGTGCCATCACTCTAGCATTAAGATCACGGGGCCTACCAACGGCACAATGGGAGTCTGTTCTACTCGACGCCTTGCATTCCATCAGATCTTTGCTCTGTACTGCAACGAACGCCACGCCACACGAACGACTGTTTACCTATAACCGAAGATCGACATCTGGGACAACTCTTCCTACTTGGCTCACTGTACCAGGACCAGTACTTCTCCGGCGGAGTGTTCGTCAGTCCAAATTCGATCCCCTGGTTGAAGAGGTGGAGCTATTGAATTGTAACCCGCAATTCGCTCACGTTCGCTTCGGTAATGGACGTGAAGATACAGTTGCTCTTCATCATCTGGCACCCAAAGGCGAAGATATAGATCAAGTTGAAAATTCAATACCGGAGGGCGACGCAATTCCTGAGCAACAAGTAAATGGGGATGCGACCACTGATCCTAATATTCTTCGTGAAGAAAATACAACTGAAACGAACAACGGGCGTATTCTTTTGGAAAAACAACAACGTGTACGGCCTTACAATTTGCGTACCAGAGAAGCGTGACATAATGGCTCATTCCTTTTCAAGCCGCAGTGAATGTTGTGAACTTTTCTTATAATACGTATCTAGTCATATTCATATCTCTACCGCTATTAACACTCTTTTTTCCTTTATATGTTTAAGCCATTCCGGCTTCATTGTAAAATGAATAAAGCCTAAATTCTTGGTTCATTCGTCTTTTCAAGATTCAAGCATCACTCATCGTTCTAAGACTCAGTCACCTTCGCAACATTTCTAACCATAGATTTTTACCGTCCCGAGGATCCCAGCCTGGAAGTCTACACCTTCCTACGTGGCTTAGACCAACTGTTGTGGATTTCATTGGCTGGTGCCAAGTTTTTGTTTGACCGCCGCTAGCTTTTTCCCAGCCTGACCCTATATCCGCTAACATAGCTCGTCGAGGGAGGCGATGGCTTGGCATACGTAACACATGTCCTAACCATCTCAGTCTTTGTAACTTCACGACTTCGTCGATTGATTTCCCCTGTTTACCTAGAACTCGACGCCTAACCTCCATGTTGCTAACCTTATTATGCCACTTTACACGGGAAATAGAGCGCAGGCACGTATGTCTTCCACTCTCAGTGGCCAGGTCTCACAACCATAAAGGAGGACGGAGCGGACTGATGAGCAGTACACCCGCCCTTTGGTCGATAGTCGAACATCTCGTCTACGCCAGAGTCGGCGTAAACTAACAAATGCGAAACGAGCCCCCTGTATTCGTGCTGAGATTTCGTCAGAGATCAACCCGTTGGCGTTGGCTGATGGTGCTTCCCAAATAAGTGAAGCGGTCAACGTGCTCTACCACTTCACTTCCTATTTTTAAACTAGGCGTCGATGTAGTCCAGTCCTGTAACATAATCTTGCATTTGGCGGGAGCGAATCGCATGCCAAACATTCGTAGATTGCGGCTCAAGGTGTTTAGAAGACTCTGCATTTTGTCAGCGTCGTCGCCTAGAAGGACTATATCGTCTGCATATTCCAAGTCAACGAGATTATTCCCTGGTAACAAGTCAATCCCTGAGTCGCTGAAGTCACCTAGGGTTAAGTCCATTAACACATCTATGATGAAGTTGAATAGAAAAGGAGATAATGGGCATCCTTGACGGACACCACTAGTCGTCACCAGTTCAGATGAAAACTCCCCGTAAGCCCTCACCTGGCTGTATGAGTACGAGTAGAGTGCCTTAATCAGTGCAATATATTTTCTTGGAATTCCCTTTACAGCCAAGCATCTCCAGAGAACTTCTCGGTCGATAGAGTCGAATTCCGCCTTTAGGTCAAGAAATATAATGACTGTTGGACGCCGGTAGGAATGACTATGTTCTAGAATCTGTCGGAGGGTGAAGATATGATCAATACACCCTCTTCCTGGTTTAAAGCCTGCCTGGCTCTCTCGTGTCTGTGCCTCCCGAGCACCACTCAGTCTACGCATGATTATTGAGCCTAAGACTTTAGATACTATATTAGTCAAGCTAATCCCTCTGTGATTATCACAGGAAGACTTGTCTCCCTTCTTGTATATGGGGATAATCAGTGACTTACACCAACCCGATGGGACTTCTTCTGATTCCCAGACGCTGCCTAGTACCTCAGTTAATCCAGACAGTAAACTGTCTCCACCGTACTTAAATACCTCGGGAGTCATTCCATCAGGTCCCGCTGCTTTGCCTAGTTTCAGATTAGTGACAGCTTTAGTAACCTCAGTTAGGGATGGAGGACCTGTGTCTATATCCCATTCAGGGAGGTGTTGGATGCTCGGAAGGTTGAGCGTGGCTATGGGCCAATTAAACTGCTCCTCATAATGCTCTTTCCAGCGATCCAGTCGTCTATCCTGGGAGCTAATTATAGTGCCATTTTTCTCCGAGATTAATTTCTTTTAATTTTTTTTTTAATTTTTGGTAACAGCTTGATTCCACACTGTATTTTCGGTACAAGTATGGAATTTTCAGCGTGGATATCGGTAGCCCAAATTTCGCAGGCCGACCATAGATACCTGGTGTGCGCCGGTGTGGGCTCGAACCCCGGACCATGCGCATGGTCGTCGAGAGTCCTAACCATTGTGCCACCGACGCACAGATTGTTTCACTAATGATTTGTCTTCTCCCACCCGTTTCCCTAATGAGTCTAAATAGTTGCCTGGTGTTGTCTATCCTCAAAGCTTTCTCCATCTCTTTGGCTTTTGTCACCCACCACTGTTCACGGTCCTTTCGGAGACTTCTCGTAAGTTTCCTCTTGTGCAGCTTTCGCTCCTCATTGAATTCGGAGCTCGCCGGAATAAGTCTTCTAGCATCTATCAGTTCGGATGAGGCGGTGGATATCCAGTGGTTTTTACTCACCTTTGGATTTACCTTATTCACAGCTTTTACAGCTGTATCTATGGATGCCTGGATATTCTTCCAAGCTTCTTCAGGGTGAGCACAGCTGTCGAACACAGATATGTGTTTACCTAGTTCTTCCTCAGATACGGATTTAGTTTCCTGATCGAGCTGGGGACGTGATGGTTTTACCGCCAGCTGTTTCCTACGTCCGTTCAGTCGTAAGCACACCCGAGCACGGACCAGTGCATGGTCGGTATCTACGCACGTGTTCCAGAAGGAGCGACAATCTCCTACCGACCCACACCAACGATAGCTTATTGCTATGTGGTCTATTTGTGTCCAGCGTTGGTTTGATGAAGGAGGTCTCCAAGTCAAACAGTGTCTCTCCTTGTGTTTAAAGTTAGTGCTTACAAGAAACAAATGATTATCAGAGCAGAACTGTAGGAGACGGTCACCGTTGTCGGTTCGCTGGCACGGAGCTCCATAGGTGCCACCGACATCCTTCTCAGATTGACACAATTTCCCTACTTGAGCATTAAAGTCACCAGCTAGAACGACTATGTCTGAGCGTTTAGCCTTTCCCACCAAACTAGACAGCTTTTGGTAGAACTCGTCCTTCGTTTCATCCGAACTGCAGTCAGTGGGGGCGTAGGCGGAGATTACGAAAAGGCATCGGCGAGTACTGAAGTCCTTTCTCCTTTTTTACTGACCCGTTCAGACGGACAGCACACATTCGGCTATCTACCGGGATCCAGTCAAGCAATGTCTTTTCTGCCCTAGTACTCAAAGCTATCCCTACACCAGCTAATCCTCGTGAACTAGCTGTGGCATCTCCTGACACCCTCAAGGTGAATTTTGCAGACTCAACCTGTTGGCCAGGTGGCGTTAGGTGAATAACCACACTTGGGTCTTGTATGCGTGTTTCTGAAACACAGCATACATCAATGGCTCGAGATGCCAGGGTCTTGGCTAGTGATGCTTGTTGTCCTATTTGGCAAAGTGTCCTAACATTAAAAGCTCCTATATGAAATTGATGGAGTGGCTTTAGGAGGCCGTCGGTGGTGGTTTTTTGGCTTCCATTGTTTTTAGTGGATGCAGAGTGGAGAGGAAGTGAGGAGCTATCAAGCCGAGGAGTTGCATTAGTGGAAGGAAGGCAAGATGATAGAGATGAAGATGAAGACAAAGATGAGTGAGTAGTAGAGAGGTTTCGCGTGCGTTTCGGATTGTGAGGGCGATTGTTACTTCCCGGCTGCCCACACCGTGGAAGTTGGTTGCGTGACCGCAGAGCCCAGGGGACAACTGCTTGGAGCCAGTCACATGCAGCCTGCTCATCGATTGATTGGCCCTTCTTATCTAGAAAAATCAGTTAAACAGAACTTATTGTATTTTACAAAATATAGCATATAGCACATGTATTGACGCCTACTTCAACCAATTACGCAGCCTGTCCGAATTGATTTGATAAACGTATTAATGGTTATAATTTTGAGACTGATTAATAAGTGTTCCTCATCATGCATCACTATCAGTAGGAATAAAAATGCATGACAACATGGAAGAAAATAGAATGTGACGCATGGCGTTACGCCTGTTTACGGCGAACACCAGCGTTACACAACTATAAAAAACCAAAGTGGAGAGGATACAGAAATGTATATCAGCTCCTAGTACTATGGGCGCTCCAACAAGTCCCAAAGATAAGGAAATACATATCCAGGATTCCTCACTGGGAGTCACCAACCACCGAATTACTTCATGTTAATAATTCGCAAACATCGTCGAAGCATCCGCACTAATAGCTGACACATACGTCAACAGATGTCGAACATATTTCAATCCAAAATCATTCAACGGGAAAATCAAAATTGTGAATTAAAAATTCAATAATGTATGACACCCCCGTTGCATAAGAAGCGACTCATGTGGCTCAAAGTATCTAGTGGATAACGCTTTTTCGCCTCTTTGAAACGACGACCACCACCACCCCGAAATGGGACGAAAGGCGCATTCCTTGGATTCTGCTGCCAATCACCATACATACATCAAATTACTTCAAGAAGGTTGAAAAGCAAATATAAACCACATGAAAATCTCCACTCACCATATTCTTCTGCTCCACACCAACACCACCTCCACCACCTGTAAGGTTATCCAAACGGGGTCTAAAATCAGAGAATAAAATGATTATTCACTTATGATCGAAGACATTATCGATAACACAAAAAAATTGACTAAAATAAAAGCCTGGTGAATGCATAAAGCAATTGCACAACACACCTCAGTAAGAAGTTAGGCATACAAAGTATGAAAGAAAAATCTATTACCTAAGAACAAGACGATTTGTACCGCACATTCTTACTAAATAACTTGCGTATGTATCCTTACTTTCATAATGAAAAATTCCGGCAAATTAAATATGCGCTAATAAAGAATTTCATACGCTTCAATGTCCGTAATGGTGGTGACAAGCAGTAGTTTAACCTGAAAAGGTTAACCCCATTATGCAGATTTTTATTTTGATAAATCACACAGCATTATACAGTAATGTGCGTCGGTGGTACAGTGGTTAGGACACTCGCCGACCATGCACATGGTCCGAGGTTCGATCCCCTGCCGACGCATACCTGATATCTATGGTCGGCCTGCGAAATTCGGGCTACCGATATCACATGCTGAAATTTCTATACTTGTATGCGGAATTAAGCTGTAATCAAAAAAAATTTTAAAAATAATATCTACTGATGGCGTTTCGAGCACAAATTAGTATTGCTCATAATCATATCGAGGCACGACTCACATAACTCCCTTGCTTCATTTATATACTGAGTAAAAATTGATTACACTTGGTGTTAAATAACTAACCATCCTATAAAATTCATTAGGAATATCAAAAAAGGTCAAAAGCAAAATGAAAATAATGGTGAAACTAATAATGATAACATAAATAAAAAAGAATATAAGGCATCTAGTGTTATACCATATAAGGAGGGGATGTCTAAGACCCTACGTGGTAGGATTCATAATAAAGCAGGAATCGGGGTGGCATTCAAAACTACAAACTCACTACTCATGGACAAGCTCTGTGGGTCAAAACAACCTTTAAGTTGACTCAATTAGACAGAATAATATTATTTACAAAATACCTTACAATGACTGTGAGTGAGGTCAACTATATAGGTCGATACCTAGTAGATCAGGAATAGTCGGATCGTCAGAACATAAGAATTTAGCTAAGGTAAAAATGGTTGATCCCATGAAGACGAGTAATTTAGAAAAGAACTCAGCAACAACACTTCATGCATCAACACACAATTACACAATAGGATGGGATAGGGTTAAAATTCTATAAAGTAATACAGGTAGGTGGAGAGAGAGAGGCGGATTACCGAATCTTTGTTCATCGAGTGAATCTACACCCAACCAGTGCAACAGGAATGACGCATCACTCATACCGGAAATATGGAAAATAATACCTACCAATATAAAGTCAAGCGATGAAAAATAATGGAATTATATAAACGAAGTTGGAATATTGTGTAAGTAGTGCCTTGATATGAATATGAGCGGCAATAAGTTGAGAGGTGCTCAAAACATGGTCATCAGCAAATATTACTTACTGTATAACACACTGTGTGATTTTATCAAAATAAAATTTTATCCATACTGGGGTTATACTATAACACAGTGCCCAAGTTTTATCCTTATATGAAAAAGTTAACCATACTACTTATAAGTAGTAATATGCACTTGTCTAGACTACTAATCAAACTACATAGGCGTTAAAACGCTCAAAGGCTGTAGGCAAAATTAGGTAGTTCATAAGACACCGTATTATTTAGAACAATTTAACACTGTAGAATGTCTCGTTGACCTCGGTGATGACTACCAACCAACAGAGCCCAAAAAAATTCTCAAAAGTATAGCTTCTTCACACATCAAAATCAAATAAAGACACACAATTGGTCGGTTGGCATAACCTCGCATATAACTATGTAAGGTCCAGCCCTCACTTCCCAGTCAGACATTGCTACAACCCCTGAAATTGATACAGTCACGAAAAGTATACCGACTACCAGTCGCCCCCCTCCCCCCAGTAAATTATTAAGTTTTACGTCTTGTGCTTTTCAAGAAAAGAACTTTCATTATGTGCAGATCCCTCATAGATAAAGGCTGCACAACTACCTCTTGTATGCCTTGAAAACTAAGTAAACACACACGTCTACACGCGTGCGCGCCAACTAACTAACAAGCAGTGACCCAAAACTGACTCGTTATGGTCTAAGAGCAGAAAACAGATCACTACTTCCTACCTACTGACAATACTCTCATTAGAGACACGCGCACAGTCAAGAAATGCTCTTTAAAAGAAATGTTTATTCTTTGGTAATTTTTTTTTCGTGAAATCACAGGAAATGAAGATTTGGAGAGAGAGAGAAAAATTAGGGTAAACAAATGACATCTTAAAGCGAAATGGCAACCAGATAAATAACAATTACATATGAAGAAGCGGTCAGTAAATATTCATTTTAACAGTTACACAGTGGTATGAATTAACAAATACAACACAATATATGAGAGCAGGTTGAAAATGTGTACTACTGTGCAAGAAGAAGAATAACTTTCTACTTTAGACGGACATTCAAATTCGTATGGATAAAAACCAATGTACTCCGAATGTGAATTCAGCTCTATTGACTTGTTTTCATTCAAATAATATAAATGCAGGACTGGATGATGCGGGTTCGAATCTCACTCAGAAGGGATATGAGTGTTCCTTCAAGGTTACAGATACGCCTTGCTGACTAGTGAGTGCCAACTAGCACGAAACCTGGATCCAAGGCTTCCTGTAGCCGATTACCTCCAAATATCTAATATATATATATATATATATATATATATATATATATATATATATAAAGAAATAACACAGAAGACTGGTAACTCAGGTGGATGATTTTGATTTGTGTTCTTTGAACTGGTTGATTTAATTAGCGAAGCTTTCGTTATCCGTCTAGACAGCATCGTCTTCAGCACAGGCTTTACCATGAAGTGAACTGGCTTGAATTCCTCATGTGAATGATGATATATATAATTGCACCTCATGACAAACATTTTGGTCATTGATTATTAGTTCACATGTTTATTGATGATTTTTTTATTGTAGAAAAATCACAAACATTCAAGTCGATGACAATGAAGTCATGGTGTCATCTGACGATGATGTGTTACAGCACTATACACTTTAATTGGTCAAAAAATAGTTTAAAAAAACCATGTGCAACCACTATTCTATAGCGACGAACACACGAACATGCAACGTTCAACTAGGATGGAAGTCATAGAATTATGTCTTACAGCATGCTGCCAATTCAATCATCATATATATAAGAACAGATAAAAGGAACACCAAAGGAATCGCCTGGATCAGGATTAATAGCTAAAACTGTTATGGAAGGATTGAAATTAATAGTCCTATCCATTGATTATGAACAATAATGAATTTTGTTCGAAACTGTGTGATCCAGTTAAATATTACTGTTTCATTGTCTAATATACTTACTACACAAACTAATATGGAGTCCCATCCATAATTAAACCAAAAATCTGAGTACGTTAGACTGACGAAACATTTGTAATAATTAAAAATGTGATTTTGAATACACCCACGAATTAATCGCCAATATTGAGGTTAGGCGTCGAGTACTAGGTAAGGAGGGGAAATCAATCAACGAGACTGAAATTACATCGACTAAGACGGTTAGGACATGTGTTACGTATGCCTAGTCATCGCCTTCCTCGAACGAGGGGCAATGTTAGCTGACATAGGATCAGGCTGGAAAAGAGCTAGCGGCGGTCAAACCAAAACATGGCTTCATCAGTCAATGAAATCCAAAACAGTTAGTTTAAGCCAGACAGCCAGTCATGTAGGAAGGTGTAGACTTCCTGACTGGTTTGTTGGGGCCCTCGGGACGGTAAAAACCAATGAATGCTGGAAACAATCGGTGATATGGCTCAAAATCGTTCTCAGTGATGGTTAGTGCAGATGCATCCACTCCTTGTGACTTGTGATTTCCAATGAAACTGTATTGTTCTTCGTTATTACGGGATAGATGGGAAATATCTACTAACTGTCTTCAGGAAGAATGAACATCTATGTAACTCCATCAAAAATTGTTTGTAAACTCAAATAGAAATAACACCAACAAAAGCCCATCCTCAAAAACCGCGCAAGAATTCATTTCACCATAAATATAAAGCATATCTCTGAAAAAACAGCTAGAATACTAATGTAACAACAGAAGACAAGGGCCAGGCAGCAGATCGTTTATTTAGGAAACCAACACATATTTATGGATTTTCATGTACATTATTATAGATTGGCAGAAAAACAGTCTTCTGATTGGTTGTTCCTCATTGAAAGTTAATCTTTCATCTCTTTGTGGCTATTTCTGGAATGTCAGATCATCTATATGCTAACTGCATCCGCCTACGCGAAGCCTTTGTTCTTATTTTTCTCACGACCAATATTGGGGACATAAACATTACTGTCTATCAATTTTGGCTAGTAGCCAGCTCTTACCACATTAAAACCACTTGAAAAAGATTTACCACGCAAACCGACACAATCATTTCATTCAATATTGTGCAAACTAAAGGATCCACTCAACCAACAGCAAAAAAAAGACAAAATCGATACCACCTGCAAGACGCAAATTTCACAAACTGTAATAAACACTACTACATTGGTCAAATTAGGTGTCCTCTACGACTCAAAATCCAAGATCATAAATTAGCCGCCAAAAGACTCGACATGTTGTATTTTTCCATATCAATGCGCACCAATTTCATTGGGAGAAATTATTTTATAATTTTTTTTTATTACAGCTTGATTCCACACTGTATTTTTTGGTACAGGTATGGAATTTTCAGCATGTGATATCGGTAGCCCAAATTTTGCTGGTCAACCATAGATATCAAGTGTTCGTCGGCAGGGGATTGAACCCCAGACCATGTTCATGGTCGGCGAGAGTCCTAACCACTGTGCCACCGACGCCACCGGATACTTCAGGGAATTTCCAGAAGCCTAGTCGGTACTCAAGGTGAACCAGAGGTTATCAGACACACACACACACACATTACTATAGATCAAATTAATCAACTAAGCAACATGACAAGAAGGTTAAAATTCCAAGTCAGTAAAATAATCGAAAAAAGATGCAAATTAACAACCAATCACGACAAAGGCTAATTCGTCAAATCAAGGTCATTTGACTTTGGTGTCTATTGTTTACTCTTGCCAGAGATACAATTGTATCACCATTCATATGAAAAATTCGGACAAATTCACTTTATACGAAAGGTTGTACTGAAGCGACATTGTCTAGAAGAAGGGCAATGAGAGCTGTACAATTAAATCAACCAGCTTAGAGAACACAATCAAATCAATATGATAAATATATATATATATATATATATATAATACCAATAATTTTTATTCCAAACGACAACTTACGAGCATATTTTCATCTGTGAGGCAGCTGCTTCGAATCCATTTGAATGGGGGTCAGTAGAACAAGTATATGGTCTTTTAGCAGGTACCACATGAGGCTCAGTTGTAAGCATTTCTGTGTGAACAAACCGATTACTACCAGTATTATTGTTATTATTATTATTATTATCTAAAAGATGAGCATCACGCTGGCGTCGAAAAATACAACCGCGTTTTGTATCTGTATCATCGAGCATAGGCGGTGCCAGTGAAGTATTCGCATTCTCTTCCTCAACACCTCTCAGTTTACACGCTGGTCTAAAATACTGATGATCACTGGATAGAACAGGTCTAGGGCTGAACATATGTGATTTTTCTGCTTTTCCACCATATGTATACTGTTCCGTTGGATTCAATTGAATACCTGATAGTGTATTGTGGATAGAGGAATCTGAAGCTGTCCTGTGATAAACGTTAATAAATAAACACTGAGTTCATAATAACAGAAAGTACATATGATATCATAAAGTAAATGAAACATCAATTACTAAATGTTGAGGGTCCAACCCCCCCCCCCCAAATGGCTGAATGGTCTACAAGCTCGCCTTGTAACCCGGAAGGTCCTGGGATTCGAACCGCGATGGTGGGTGCGTACTGTCTACGAGTCTCAGACTGGGACGAAACAGCTCTCCAAAAATCCCTGATGGTTTTCAATGGTTCTCTGTCTGTCTGGATTCAACATAGAACTTGGCACCGAAGTGCAGCAGTTCGAGTTGCCACGTTCCAAATAGCACACAGAGGTAGACAAGAAGATGAGTGAAGAGAATTAATAGAGTTTGACAAGTATAAGAGTGAAACAGAATGGGTAATGGTAGAAAGGAATATGAAAGATTACAGAGACTGAATACATCTGCGCCATTGACAACGATCACTTTGAGCCATGTCACCTATTGTCTCCAGCCATTGATTCCTAGAGTCCCGAGGGCCCCAACCCGGGAGTCTGCATCTCCCTACCTGACTCAGTTTAACTGTCAAGGATTTCATGGATTGATGCCATGTTTTTGTTTGGCCACCACTGGCTCTTTTCCAACCTGAACCTATATCAGCTAGCAAAGCCCGTCGGGGGAGGCGGTGGTTAGGCATGCGCACCACGTGACCTAGCCATCTTAGTCTATGTAACTTTATAGCCTCGTCGATTGATTTTCCCTCTTTGCCCAACACTCTCCGCCTAACATCAACATTACTTATCTTGTGAAACCACCTAACGTGAGACAGAGATCGCAGACATCTACGATCGAAAGCAGTCAACCTTTTCATGTCTTCAACGCGTATTGGCCATGTTTCAGAGCCATAGAGAAGGACGGAGCGAACTGATGAGCAGTACACACGTCCCTTGGTTGATAACCGGATGTCACGCCTACGCCAGACATGGTGTAAGTCAGCGAAAGCAGCTCGAGCTTTTCGGATCCGTGCTGAGATTTCATCGCCAATCAGTCCGTTGGTGCTAATACAACTTCCCAAGTAGGTGAAGTGGTCAACATGTTCTATCACTTCCCTCCCTATCACTAAGTTAGGAGTTGACGTGGTCCAGTCCTGTAGCAGCATCTTACATTTTGCAGGGGCGAATCGCATGCCAAACATACGAAGATTGCTGCTCAAGGTGTTCAAAAAAACTGCATTTTTGACAGGAGCAGGCGAATCGCATGCCAAACATACGAAGATTGCTGCTCAAGGTGTTCAGAAGACTCTGCATTTTGTCAGCATCCTCCCCTAACAGGACTATGTCATCTGCATATTCTAAGTCCATTAGATTATTCCCTGGTAACAAGTCGATTCCTAAGTCACTACGTTCAGTTAAGGATACTTCCATTAGCATATCTATGATGAAGTTAAACAGAAATGGGGAAAGTGGACATCCCTGTCGGACACCACTGGTTGTTACCAATTCAGATGACAATTCCCCATAAGCCCTTACACGACTACGTGAGTTTGAATAGAGTGCCTTGATTAGTGCAACGTACTTTCTTGGCACTCCCTTCACAGTCAGACATTGCCATAGTACCTTTCGATCCACTGAGTCGAAGGCCGCCTTCAAGTCAAGAAATATGACAATTGTTGGACGCCGAAAAGTGTGTCTATGTTCTAGAATCTGTCGAAGAGTGAAGATATGATCTATGCACCCTCTACCTGGTCTAAAGCCTGCTTGATTTTCCCTTGTCTGTTCCTCCCGAGTTCTGCTTAGTCTATGCATGATTACTGAGCCTAGGATTTTAGAGACTATGTTCGTTAGGCTGATCCCCCTATGATTATCACACGAGGACTTATTTCCCTTCTTGAATATCGGTATAATAAGTGACTTACCCCAGTCTGATGGAACTGTCTCTGATTCCCACACTTTGCCTAGTACCTCAGTTAATCTACAAACTAGTATGTCACCCCCATATTTAAACACCTCCGGAATAATTCCGTCTCTCTAATTGATGTTCGGTTGTAAACCCGAACTCTTGTGCGTCTGTGGTGCACAGGTAGAGTGTACTCGCCAAACAGGCATGTGGTTTGGAGTTCGAGCTTCCTGCCGACGCACTCTAAAACCTCGCCCAGCGGCTGCTAATAAACCCAGATAAGACAGGAGGTAGGACGTAAGGCTATCGACCCTAGCCCGTAGAAAATAAACTAACAGTGCTAATGAAACCTCCAAGTTCAAGCTGGAAGCTCTATGCTTCACCTGGAACGCAAGGGAATACAATCAAAAATAATATTCAGTTTTGAATCTCCATATGCTGGTATACCTTATTCACATATCGCAAATTCAACACACACACACAACAAAATAAAATTTCGTCAAAATTCTAGGAACAGCACACTACAGTTTAGCTGTCATCCTTTATGGCTGTGAGTGAGACATGCCCATTGAAAGTGGCGGACATGAAACAGCTACCTCTCCTTGATCAGAGGTGTTTTCGTTCTGTCTCCAACCTTAAGTAGTACAATAAGGCGAATAATATTGAGGTTACGCGTCGACTGTTAGATTAGGACGGGAAGTCAGCCAAACAATGAGGTTATGAAGCTAAATCGTTTGAAATGGATAGGACATGTGTTAACTGACATAGGATGGATCAGGTTGGAAAAGAGCCACAGGTGGCCAAACCAAAACACCGCCTCATAAGTCCACAAAACCCTCGATAGCTAGTTTAAACTACATAGGAAGGTGTATACTACCAGGCTGGTTGAGATCCTCGGGATGATAAGAATCAATGGCTGGAGAAAATCGATGACATCGCTCAAAATCATTGACACTGGTGCAGATTCATTCGCTCTTTATGACCTCTCATATCCATTAAAACGCTATTGCTTTTCCATGTTACCATTCTACCTCACATATCTGATTATAATAGTTCTGGATGGACCTCACTGGTCACGACTTTTCACTAGAACTCCAAGAAACTCCACCCTGTAGAAGTTAGAATTCATGAGCTATTGAATCGGGTCCCAGTAGCTGAATGGTATACGAGCTCGCCAGCCTTGTAACCGGAAGGTCCTGAATTCGAGCCCTGGTGGTGGGTGCATACTGCCGATGATTCCCAAACTATAATAGTTCAGTCGAATCTCTTGTTTACTCCCTGTTGTCTTCCTTTGAGTGCTATATAGAATGTGACCAGTTGAAATGATGCGCTGCTGTTCCATATTGCAACTCAATCTCTATCAGTTAATCAATGTTGATTGCATAATTAGCAATAATAATAATAATAAATGCAGAGTTACCTTCTCCAATCGACGACTGAATACGGTGTTGGTGTACGTCCAAGTTGTTCAGTGAAATTAACAGAGAATGGAACTTTTGAATGTTGTAAATTATTTGTTGGAGGAAAACTACGAAAGCCAACCGGTGTACCAATACTATCACCAACACTAAAATAGCCTGATTCACATGTATACTGACTTGATGAATTAGCCAATGGTTGTTGTGTATTCAAACTGGTGGCAGCAACTTCAGCATCTGAATGTGATGCAGAGAATAAGTATGGATTTGCCGGAAGATGCGGTTTTTGATGTACACCACCTTGATAATGAGGCTGCTTTACATCATTATTATTATTATTATTGTATGGGCTAAAATTCTTTTGATGAATTTGTTGATGACTGCCAACTCCGCCTGAACACTCGTTACTCCAATTTCTGTATAGAAAAAAAAAGAAAGTATCAAAGTCATTATTCTTCCGACGAATTGATTGTGAAATGTGATATGCATCCACATGATGTGTGTTTTATTTTTGACAGTCTATTATATTTTGCTATGTGTATATGGATTGATATTTCATTATAACTGACAATACGCTTTTGTCTGTCCACTAACTAAATAAACATGTATGACCTTGTTATCACATGACATTACAACCAATCGTGGTAAGACGCTATCTTATTGGTTCATGTGTATTAGCCATTTTTATATATACTCTTGCTTTATTATTCTTGTTCATTCTTGTTCACACGTTTTCGTACATACGTACCGCTTCACTCACACACTTGTGTGACATTTATTTTCCTTGTCTGGAAGATACAAGTATCATCGTAAACCTGGTGGTCTTCTGATTTCCATCTTTTCGCGTCAGGACTATTAACTACTCGACGAGTACATAACAAAATGAAACTAGGATTTAGTTAATTAAACGAAAAATGGAGAAGTTAGAATTTGGACACCCAAGAAGCGCAAAGGCGCCAATTACCCCAAACACTCAGGCACTGCGGTAGAATGTAATTTTATACTCAGTAAATGTATCTGAATTAACACAGTGACGCTTCGAGCACAATTAAACTGCGAATAAGAAAAAATTTATCTACAATCATCAAGTGAGTGACATCACACACCAGGCCATAGCTCGAGTGGAGCCCTAACGGGAAGCGGCGAGTTGATCGTCAGTGCAAGGGAGACATGGAGGAGGTCATGTGAAGAGGAGATGAAAGCATGTGGGCAGACGTGAAGCCAGGTGATGAAAAGGTTGGCAGAGAACCGAGAGTAATAGAGACGTACAGCTGAAGCTCTATGTTCCTCCAGGAACTAAAGGAAATAATGATAATATCTACAACCGATCCAGTACCCCGAATGAAATCATTTTTGGGTGAGCCAAAATGGTTTGATCTAATGTCTAAAACTAATAATCTAAATGGAATGTATGACAGCACTATAAAAATTTAGAAAGTAGGAGATCCTATTACACCACCTCGGAACACCTCGAACATGAGAATATTTGTGCCCAGTTAGAGAAATAACAAACTTTAGGCTAACTAATTCCACAGTAGTGAAACAAAAGCTAGAGGATAACAAAATGAATAGTTTAGATGTAAGCAGTTTGACTACCATTAATTTTCTGATTAATAGAGGTCTGAAGGCAGTTGGAAATGAACTCGGTAATGATCTTGAACTCTAAGAGAGAACGAAGTTTTCATTTGATGAAATAATATTAGGTGTTAGCTTATGTGTGTATTCAAAATTTCAAAATAAAATCAACAAAAACATGGGGTGGCAATGGGATCACCCATAACTGTATTAGTTAGCAGACATTTATGAACAGTTGGTTGTGGACTCAAAGCCCTGTAGTAGTACTGCTGTAGAAAGAATGAACATCACAGGGCTTATAGGTAGGATTATCAATGAGGTTGGAATTAAGGTGGCATTTAAACTAACTAACCAACCAACCCCAATCAGAGATAGACTTTGTCACCTTAGGAATCCGATAGATACAACTAAGAAAAAAATATAATTTACCAAATACCATGTAATGACTGTTATTGAGGTCAATAAAGTATGGTAAAACTAGTACACCTGGGTCAATTAAAGTAATGGAACATGAAAATTTAGCTACGGCCAGAACGATTGATGCTAGTGAGTTAAGTAACCTAGGAAAAACCTCAACCGCCGCATTGGATTGCATTCACATGCATGCAATCATCACATAATAAGGAGAGACAGGGTGAAAGTAATGAAAAGTAATATAGTTAGGTGCAGAGAGAGAGAGAGGTCAATCATTTTATCTCTGTTTATCGATCCAACACCGCACACATGCAATCGAAATGTCACAACGGCTATGCTGGAGATATGGAAAGCGGCAACAAACAGCAAGGAAAAGAGGATATATATATATAGCAAATTATGAAGCGGTGTGACTAAAATGATATGATTATGAGCAAAAATTTGTGCTCGAAATGTCATTCAGTTACTAATATTGCATCACTGAGTGTCAAATAAAAATAAATTTATATAAAATAACACCATATTTATATTCAAACAGTCTTGAATGAATTGTAATGATATTCCACGGGATATCTGCTTACTTTTAAACTAGGTTAACAGAAGATTATGGTTAGATTTAGGTCAATCCGGCTATAGACCAAAGCGTGTGTGTACTGCTCAAAAGTCCGCTTCGTCCTCCTCCTTTATGGCTGGCTGTGCGACCTGGCCAGTGAAAGTGGAAGATATGAAGGGGTTAGCTGTCTTCGATCATAGATACTTGCTTTCTATCTCCCGTGTGAAGTGGTATATTAGAGTGAGCAGTATTGGGGTTAGGCTTTGGTCGAGTACTACGTAAGGAGGGGAAATCAATCGACGAGGCTGTGAAGTTATATCGACTGAGATGGTTAGGATGTGTTACATATGCTTAGCCATCGCCTTACTCGAGTCGGAAAAGAGCTAGAGGTGGTTAAACCGAAACATGGCTTCATCAGTCAATGAAATTCACAACAGCTTGTTTAAGTCATGTGGGAAGGTAAAGACTTCCTGGTTGGGGTATTCGCGACGGTAAAAACCAATGAAAGCTGGATACAATTGGTGATATGGCTCAAAATCGTTCTCAAAAGCTGGCGCAGATGCATCCATTCCTTATGACTTATATCCTATAAAATGATATTGCTCTTCGATATAACTATTTTTTTTTGCCTAATATCTCTGTTTATTGTCGCTGTTTTGCATTTCTTTTTACTTTCTTCTCTTGCTTTGTGCTCTAAGTGAAGTGTGGCGACTTGAAGTGCTGCACATCGGTGCAAGGTTCTACGTTGAAACCAGTCAGTCAGTCAGACACTTAGGCTAGGATTAGGTTAACATTAAATTAACCTAATAAAGGAAATATTATGGTCAGAGTTACGGAAAGATTCAGACTATGTTAAGGAACGGGGTCCTCTTGGCGCAGTTGTGCGTTCCAAGTTTACTGGTGCGTCTGCACCTTTTAGGTGTTTAAAGCTGACTTTACCAGTTGGAGTTTCCAGCTGTACTATTATTCATCATTTTTCGTCATCCTATACGCACAGAATAAAAAAATAAATCATTCAAATTGACAATTGAAATTCGGCAACAGATTAATTACAATAAACGCGGCTTAAATACACTATAATTAAGTTGTATGTTCACAAGCACAGCTGATATCCTAATTTAGCGGTTAAGTTTGTTAATCGTAACGCCACTACTTTACAGGTTGAATCATATGCAGCTAGAAACGCCACCATACCCCAGGGAGGTCGATCGATAAATGATGTGATTAGAAGTGACTCACTCCAATTGTTAACTGAACAATCAGTACAGTAACAGAATTAATATATTTTCTGAAAATACTAAGCGTCTCAAGCTATGCTTCTTTTATTCTCTCAGAGATTATAGAAATGGTCAGTTACAAAATTGATATATTTACTGGACTCCATGAAGTGGTGCATATTGGCAGTCTGGATAAACCACAATAGCGTTTAAATCACAATTGGTATGAAAAATCCAGATGTTTTCAATCCGTGATCAAAGTTTCAAGTTAATGAGACTATCCATGATAATTTAACATTTTTGGCATGTGCATGAACAAGAACTAATGTCATGTCACGTGAGAAATCGGATAATATCAATTGTAAACACAACTTTACCGAAACAGAGTCATACTTAAAACGTGTTAAACCAAACAGAAATGATTATGAGTGATTTTCGAATGTTATACGATAGCATGTGTTGAGATATGGCTCACAGGCGCCTTTAGCCAAAGGTTCGCAGATTTGAGTTAAACTCTACTAATATCAGTCTGTGCGACTGAGCAACAATATCGGCTCTCAAACTGTAAGTGTGGCTCTTAGCCTGGCCTGGTACGGATGGTAATTAAGGTGAAACATTGAGTTCAAACAATTGATTGAATCGACAGCGATAGTCGCTTGCTACAGATGCATCCAGATAATTACCAGTGTTTAGAGAATATTAATTTTAGAAGTAGGAATACCATGTGGATAAGATAAGCAGCAGGTAACTGGCACATGTAGAGAATCCAACCAAGAACCTGTTGCCATACAAATAAGCAGAAAGAAATGTAAGTGAAATGGAAATACGCTGAGGAGATCGTTGAGTGACATCACACCATAAGTACTCGACAGAATACAAGTGGGAAGCAACAGGTTGGGTATCCGAGACTTACATGCAGAAGATCATGTAAACAGAAAGTGAAAACTTGTAGGAAGTCGTGGTGCCAATTGAAAATGATGTCAGAGAACTGAGTGTAATGAAGACGTACCACTCAGAATTCAAGGAATGAATAAGAAGAATATGGATACTATCGTAACCAACTCAACAGTGGACTCAGACAGACCCTATAATCTCGAAAAGTTACAGTCGAAGAAATTATCACTGCTTCCGTAGTAAACGCTTCAACAACTGAAAGGCAATGGTTGAAGAAGTAGAATCGCAACAGGTAGCTGAACCAACATACTTCACTTGCCGAATACTACATTTTATCTAAACGAAATTACTTACAATCTCTCCTTCAGTAGTAAGACCTGAGCTGCATAGTAGGACAGCACCGGCACTCCTACCCAGAACGACTGTCATCTACGAGTAGATGTGCGGTTCATTGCCTTCAACAATCAGCTTCAAGTCCATGAGTCCAAAGTTCGAATCCCACTGCGCCTAGTTCAACCTGGGCAATTGGGTAGTATCACCAGCCCTCACAAATGAAGCACGCCACATAGCCTGGCGCATGAAAGAACTTCTCCAGGTAATTTAATCCGATTTAGCACAGCACACCTCATGACACTTTTACGGTCGCAAACTACCAAAACACATCCTGATTGCTAAAGTGAAATTCTACAATTATTAGACTCCAGTGGGGTTTTTTTGTAATTTTATTCCGAGTGGAACATACAGCTTCAAGCTACATCTTTGAACGTACGACAGTAGTGGTTCTTCTAATGGGGTAAGGTAGCCAGCCTCACATCCTTACCCCCCCCCTCTTTACCTGCCTTACTACTGGCTTAGGGAACCTGAGACCATACACGTGCTTAACAACCAACACATAGACTTTAATAGGTATACGTTTTAAAATACGTTGAGAAGTGGGAATTTGACCAATAAAACTCTCCGGTACGGATTTATCCCGAACTCTATTTATTGTCCATATGACTACATATCGCATGATTACCTTGTGATTATCACAAAACCTGCCTCGTTTCTAAAAGAAAATCATTTCATCAACAATCGATAAGAATTCATTGGAACTATTCCATATCTGCAACACTTTCTGAATAAGTATTTAATCTTGCCAATAACTCTTGATTGTTATCTTGAAATAATTTTCGGTCAAATCGTCGGTTCACTATTACTTTCCTTCATGGTCGACTTTACGCGCCTTTTTCAAAATCGGTAAAATTTGGAAGCATGACATCCATGACACTTTTTAGTGGTAAACAACTACAGATCACCTGAACTTCATTGTTACGTTCAGACATACACCATCAATGATTCGGAAACATTGTAAATAATACATTCCGTCGCACTACACCAAAATGACAGACTGTAGATTAATCGATAATCCAACAATGGTAGAAACTGTACTGAAAAGTTATGAAGCAAAAAACAAACCTGACTCAGAGTAAGGTCCTTAGATACGTGTGCAGTGATGAATTGATAAACAAAGATTCAGCGAATAACCTCGGTCTTACCGTATTATGTGATTATAAGCAAGTAGATGTAATCCAATGCAGTGTTGAGCTTTTTTCTAGGTAACTTAACTCACCAGGGTCAATCGTTCTCTACATGTAGCTAAATTTTTATGTCTCAATAATCCAGTTGACCCCGACGTACTAGTTTGACCGTATGTAATTGACATCCCTAACAGTCATTACACAGTGATTAGTAAATTATATAATATTTCTTGATTGGATCTATTGGGTCCTTAAGGTGACAAAGTCTATCTCTGATTGGGGTTGGTTGGCTAGTTGGTTAGTTTAAAAGCCACCTTAATTTCAACCTCAATGCGAATCCTACGTAAGGCTTCTCGTGTTCTTTTTTTATTAGGTATCGAAAGAGGAACACCAGAAGGGAAAGGGAAAAAGATATGTGTATAAGACAAATTATGAAGCCGTGAAACGTCATCCAGTTTCATTTTTTGATTGGACACTAGTCAGTAACGAGTGTGATGTGTCTAGTCCTATCTTCGATGCACCGTAATGGCGAGCTACCTAGAATGGTGGCCACATTGCAAACCTGACTGACAGAATTCAGTCTGCACCAAACGAATAAAGGACTAGACACGTCACAACAGTTAGTGACCAGCGTCCAATAAAAAATATCCAATACAGTCCTACAGGAGGTCAATCGCGAGCCTGAATACCTAGCTCAATGGCAACGCCTCTGACTGCATGCAGCACTGGATGATGCGGGTTCGAATCTCAGAAGGGACATGAGTGCACCTTCGAGTTTGCAGATACGCCTTGTTGACTACTGGTGAGTGGCAGCTAGCACAAAACTTAGGTTCAATGCTTCCTGTAGCCGATTGCTTCCCACCATCTTATACCGACGTCATCCAGTTATTAAAGCTGCGTCATTGTGTGTTATTTCAAATAAATTTTATCTAATATGGAATAACATTCTACCACGAAATTCTTAAGTTCTACACAAAGATCTACAATCAAGAAACTTTTCCCCACCTAAGTGTTAACTACATAAACATCTATCATTAATTATTTTTCACAATATTTATACAATATAAAAACGATACTCACTCTATACAACTTTTCTGTGTAGAATGATGCTGAAAAGGTCCAGTGGTAGACCATGAAGAAGCATATGAACTAGTCGTCGATGTATTATTATTATAATCAGAATCATGTCCTCCACCATAAGTGTTACGTTTATATCCAAAAGATGAATCACTTGATGAAGCAATTGAAGAATTATACGGAAATGGACAAATATTTGGAGTTTTTGATGTAGTCTCTTGTTCTTCGTCATCTTTTTTAATTGATATATGCTCTTTTGTTTGAACACCACCAGTCGGTACACGTTCACTGACTCTTTCATCACATGTGTTGGATACTGCTGAGCTTATAGGATAGATTCCTGAATGAGAACTAGATATTGTAGAACTGCCGCATACACGTTTACGATCCACCTAAAGAAAAATGGAAGAATTAAAATTAAATACAATCTCACACAAGAAGTTCTGCCGACAAATCAGCACAGTGAATCAGAAATAGGATATTCAAGTGTTGGATTGTAAGGGATTTGATTGACTGGTTACAGGACTTCATCATGAGCTGACATCAGTTAGAGAACCATTGGAAAACCAGCAATGGAGTACTGGACAGCTGTTTCATTCTAGTTTGGGAATCTTCAGCAATACGCACCCACCGGGATTCGAACCCAGGTTACAAGGCGAGCTCTAAACAATGTCAACTCTTGATGAAATCCTGTCACCAATCAAATCCCTACAAACCAATACTTGAATATCGATGATATGCTCACTAGCGACTTGCCCTATTCAGGTAGGTAGTTACCTGGGGTTCTTGTGAGAAGTCATGACCAGCAGGGTGCAGTATATCGGGTGTGAGGACAAATACCCAAAGAAGACATCGGCTAGTGGTCACGCTATGTCGTGAATTGGCAGAAGTTAGAATTCATGAGCCATTGGATCGGGTCCCGGTGGCCGAATGGTCTACGAGCTCGTTGTAACCACAAGGTCCTGGGCTCGAACCTCCCGGTGGTGGGTGCGTAATCCTGAAGAGTCCCAAGAGACTAGGACGAAACAGCTGTCCAATACTCCCAGGTCTCCAATGGTTCTCTAACCAATATCAGCTCATGATGAAATCCTGTAACAAAATAGGATACCACTGTAATAGTGGAAATACCTTTGAACAAAAAGAAAAGCACAGCTTAGCGCTTTCTTCAAAAACCTCATGCAATAGACACAAAAAATACTGTCCTACTTTCTCATATTAATTATTGTCAACAGTAATACTACAGCCTATCAACATTATGAATTCATTAGCCTTAACTTTAATGACTTCTCATAGGATCAAACCTTAAACTTTCCTACAATATCAAAAAGTTAATAAGATAACAAAACTAAAAATTAAGATAATTCATGTATTTTTAAGACTTGGTTTGTAGGGATTCAACTTCAGTTTAACCACGGATTGATATTGAATAGAGTTCTAGTGAGAATTTGTGATCAGCAGGGTCCACCACAAGGTTGGGAGTGAGGAAAGATACTTACCAATGACACTAACTAGTGCTAATCGTCTTAAAATCACGAACTGGTACGAGTTATCATTGATGAGCTGGCCACTGAATCAGGTGCGAGTGATTGGAAGGTCTACAAGCTTGACTTGTAACCTCAAGGTCCTGTGTTCAAACCCCGGTGGGTGTGTGCTGCCGGTGAGAACCAAGAGGATAGGATGAAACAGTAGTCCAGTACTCCCCAGTTTTTAATGGTTGTCTAATGGATACCAATCAACTCGTGGTCAGACATGAAATTCATGTATTTATTCCGTGACTAATCCCCCGATTCAATCATCTGTGGTTACATAAAACTGATATAACAGGTGTTCACACAGCATTATTAATGCTGAAAAGTGTGAGGTATTTGAGTAATCTGACTACATACTGATTTGTCAGCTGAATTTACGAGAAAAAAATGAAATATTACATAAAGTAAACAAGATTACAAGGAATCTAAGAGTAAAAAGGATAATAAGTGACACCACGTTTCCTTAATTCAGCATAAAGAACAAGATCCGGATTTTCAACATCAATGGTAAGTCAGTCAATTTTTCTGTGAGTCAGAAACTTGCACTTAGAGTCACAAAAAACATTTCCAACAGCCTGCTGCACACTTTTTTCAACAGCTGCCCTCGCTTCATATTGAAGACCAAATAGCCAGAAAGAATTAGCAACAAGAAACTTTGGAAGGCAAGGAAGCAACCAAGAACCTATTGCTGAACAAACATATAGGGGAAAATAGAAATGGATAGGGCACACACTGAGAGGACCATCGAATAATACCACGCGCCACGTCGTCGAGTGGAACCCAGATGGGAAACTACGAGTAGAGCGTCTGAGGGTAACACGGAGACCGTGCGAGGGGATAAAACTATGGGCGGTCATGGTAAAAAGCTAAAGGGGACCGCAGAAAATAGGAAAAATTGGAGGTATGCGGTTGAGGCACTACTTTTCGCTCGATACCCAAGGAAATAATAATAGCTTCATAATATAACTAGATAAGGCTTACCAAATTAGGTTAAGGGTGCACATGTGACGTGGGGCTTAATTTCACGGTAGCTATCGTCTCAGAATATCTTAACAGTTTTATCTATAATCTTAAGACCTCTTCCGATATTAATCTCATGATCCATATCAATAATCCGCTTTTTTATATACAAGGCTAGTAGACCGCCGTCTGTTTGTCTGCATTTCGGAGTTCCATCTTCTTTCAAGCCGGTCGGGTATATATTCCCCACCTTAAAGTGAAATCTGCGATTACTCAAGCCTACATATCTACACACATATACACATAAATTGATATACAATATGGGATTTATGTATTTACTTAGTGAATAACCGTCTCAGTAAAAACTAATGCCATATACTACCTTCCTCTATGACCTGGAAACAAAATATCAGAAATAATTCCGTTAGTAGATGTATTTGTGTGTATTGCACTCAGCTATAAACTACACGTATCGCGGGAGCTTATGATACTAACCGACTATCTAGGCTAAAGGAAGTGGAGTGAAGGCTGCGGAGTTCCATAAGCCATAATCCTTCATCTCAAATTTCTAGGCACTGCCCCACGGTTATTGTTTGCAGGTAATCCACACTACCAAGTTGCTTAAACTTCTATAGGTAAAGTAGAGTTTGAACACACTACCCAGTGACAGAAAAACCATTGTTTAAACTAATAAGCTGAAAAGCAAGAGGAAGGATGCCTTAAGATAGCTGCGAAGAAATTAATACTAAGAACAATATTTGCCACGTGAGGTTGTTGTTTTTTTTAAACTAAACGTCACTGATTGACTGGATTTTCAACAGAGAACTGTACAAAAGTCCAGAAGTTCAAGTGACCATACTCTATAAAACCGCATATAAAAGTAGAAAAAGGGAATGCAAAGAAACTATGATGATCTGAAATGTATCAGAGAAGGAACGATGACACGAAGAATAATGAAACTTTAATGAATCTAAGAGATCACTAGAGGTGAATGCGTCTGTGTCAAAGGACAACGGTTTTGATCCACATCGCCAACAGTCCCTAGGCATTTATTCTTGGCGTCTCGACACACCCACCTGGAAAAGTCTACACCTCCCTAAATGCCTCTGATCTGTAGTCAAAGCGGTCATGGATTGGTACTATTCCTTGGCTTGACGGCCTTGTTCCAAATCAGCTAAAATTGCTCATTGCGGAAAACAGTGGCTCGATATTCGTAATCCATGCTCACAAATATATATCGTACGACTGATTTTGCCTCCCTACTTAGCGCTACCCTTAAGTCCACTATTAATGACCATATTATACCACCTGACGAGAAACAAAACTGAGCATGTAATGCTTAATATGACTAGTTAGCTGTGGACTTATGAACCTGCACTACGCATGATGAGCCGACACCACTAGCTAGGTGTAAAATTAAATAAACCTTTAGTTACAAAGAAAATTACGATGGACCATACCGAGGAAAGGATCCTGCTTGTTAGGTCTAAGAATCAGCACACGATACATACACCCAGAAAGTTAGGAAGTCAGAATTCTTAAGCCATTAGAAATCGGGAACCTCACGTTGCACATAGCAGCCTTTAGTTACGTCAACTGGTCATTTTTGTTTGATTGTATGTCTGGATTTTGGAGTATCCTAGAGCTAATTTGCAAAATAGTTTTTGTAATGTATAAATCTTAGAAAGGGGTACAGAACTATTAAATTATTCGGCAAGTGGAACTATGCAACAAGGTGAGAATTTCGATACGACAATACTGCTGAGGAAAATTACTTTGAATTGAATAAAGGACCAAAAGGGAAATTATTCAGAGTGAAAATAATATTAATCAAAATGATAAAGAATAGGTACCAAGTATTTTGTTGTAACCCACAATATCACCCTCAAATCTGATAGTTGTATTTCGTGCAGATTTCTCCAAGTTTTTGTCTCACAACGAACCAAACAAGTAGCCTGTTTACTAGAGTGAGTCAATCAAACATAAGACTTCAATGTCTAGCAGTGAGCCACTGGGTTTTGGATTTTCAGCCCTACTCCAGCTTCTCCATTCAAAAAAGCTAGGCGTTATTTTTAATTCTTTACACATGCAGTGTGGCTTATTTAAGTAATTTTAATGTTACTATTAGTAGCACTTACCGGAATAACTTTTGAGTGCAGCGCATTATCTATCATAGGGAGGTCAGAATGCTTACTGGCCATTTGGCGGCCTGATTCACTGATATCCGATAAAGAATGAGCTTTCATCAGCATTGAACGATCCGTAGCATTTCCGTGTAAGTGACTGTGGTTAAGAGAGAGTGGCAGAGCGTCGTAAGCATACGCAATCTAAGTGAGATTTGTTACATAGTGACCAATGAGCAACAAAATACCTGACAAATTTCTTGAGCATCTCTCATAGCAGCAGCAAAATTTGCCGTTGAAGCAGCTTCTTTCATCTTAAGTAGTTCGATTTTCTCCTTGAAATTTCGCGGATTAGAGCACCCAATGTGCTTTGTCGTCATTCTTAAACTACGGGTTTTGATTTATAGCATGTGCTTAGCAGCGTTATAAAAATCGCTTAGATGACATAAAAGATCTATGTCGATGGAACAGTTTATTCGGATGAAACCAACTGTAGCAAGCACACTTAAAAGTAACTAAATCCGATGCTAGATAGTATTTCCTTTCCTATACGTGGACTCTCCCCCGTCGAACATAAATACTCGGTCGAAAAACTAATGTCACTACAATCCCGCCAACTTTGAAGGCCGCCCTAACCAACCTGAGGTTCCAATATCTAATCGCTTTCTGATAAACCTGTATAAACCTTATGATTTCTTGAAGACTACTTCTTCTTTTGAGAAAAGGTAGTTGATGGGTGCCAATAACTCTTTTCCCTTGACAGTCACATCTTAAACTGAACGCAATGAGAATAGCTACATTAGTTTATTTTGGAGGGAGTGTATGGGTAGTAGCAGGGCAGCAATACTGCTGAAATGTGCTAATTACTCTTCTTTTATAAAAACATGACCTTTTATAAGTCTAGTTGCCACACTTGTTTCCAAGGTGCATGAATGGCATCGGTTTCCCGACTGAGTTCTTCTGTCTCCTAGAAATTTAGTATTACATTGTAGCGGTAAACAATTCCCCAAAACTACTGACCACAGCAATCACCGCTGTACATTGGATGCAGCCCCTCACTGTTTAGGTTGATTATTTTAACTGAAGGCTTCCGGTCAAACATCCATGCCATTTGGTACTCAGTCGTGTCACGTTCGTGCACGATCACTAGCCAGCTAAACATTCACCTCAGTCCATGATTTGGTGCCGAAATATATCTCGTAGTTTGGACGATCAACTCTGGTCTTTTGCTTTGCCTTTGGTACACGACGAAAGAATACCACAGAAGTTGTTGATATTAGACCTAGCGTTAGTACACTCCGTACAATCTGCGAACGTCGATACCGTCAGTCTCTAAAACATAAAATTAATAATAATGTATTTCATAAAAATTTACAAATTTACATGAAAATGCATGTCATTTTTTACAGGCACGATCAAGTATGATATAGTCTCAAATCTCAGATTGTCTACAAGTTAATCATATTTCAACTGTTAAATATTTCATATATATGTAAATACACTGATTGTCTGAACCAGGCCGTATAGTTGTTGAATTGTTCAGTTGTCCTCCAGGTTGAGCGGGAAAATCGACTTCGTTTCGTTTTCATCCCGTGGTTGTAGGCATACGATAATCAACCAATATTGAGGCAAGTACAACTTTTACAAGGGATTGAAAGCTGTTTTTAGAAAAGCAAAAGTGCTAAGGTGAATCATAAAATTGTAATGAAATAGGTAAGTGCAAGTATCATTAATAAATGCATTTATAAGGGAAACTCCCTAGGCTGACAACGCTCATTTGCAATGTATAATGCTACACGTATATCTCGTACTATCATGATGCCCACTTTTGGTTTTAATACATTTATCCTCAGTTGTGCCAGTTGTTTTTATTTTATACCTTTTTGTGCATTCGGTGCACAACCGTACCCTTCAGACAGTAGGAATATAATTAGTCATAAAGAGCTGTAAAATGTTAGTTTTAATGGAGTAAAATGAGGATCAAGTAAAGACGTTATTAGAAAATGAGTGAGATAAGACATTTTGAACTGGTATTTAAAGATCTGACAATGGATAGCAAGTTAATTTATAAGATGCCCCATAAATCTGTGCAGAGCCCATGTGGTCGCATCTTAACAATAGGCTGAGCGAATGGTATATATTTAAAGGTAGAAGCATGATCTGTCTAGGCGTTCGTTATTATCTTTTTCAAGATTAAGATCTAAGCCCTCATTAAAATCAGAAATATCTCGAGCCGTCAAATTGCGTATTGCTGTTCCTGCAGAATGGGGCGATTCACCTTAGTGACCCCCACCATATCTACTGATCAGCTAGCACCACCCTCCCTCCTTTTTTGATGTTAGGCTCTGAGACTATGATTATTATGGCTACCGCAAATATATTGCTTGGTACCAGACATGTTCGTACCCCATATTCCATCTCCCTAGCTTTCTTAATGAGTGCTTCCAATAGGTCTCCACGTACATCTTTATGAACATATTATATATGTGTGCATGCATCCTAATGAACAGATTACTTTATAAGAAGTCAAAACCTTAAAGAATAAAAAGAATAGGTTTCGTGAATAGTGGAGCAAGATTCAGCAGAACACTATAGTTACGATTCAATGTAGGTAGTATGAACTGAAGGTAAGGTCGGTTGGCAGGACTTAGTGTACTAAATTATCATGACAGTCTTGTATATAATAAACATCTGACATTGCAAAGTAACGTGTCTAAACATATTATGAAAGTTAGTTAAACGGCTACTGTGCAGTTAGTAGTTGAAACGTCTTTTTTAAAAAGTAAAGGGTAGAAGAGTTTTGAGCACCGGAGCAAATTAAGTCATATTCTACTGAGTAGAATGTAGTGAATAGTGGTACGATTAGGGATAAGGGTAGGTTGAATGAACTTGGGGAAAATGGTTGGTTGGTTGAGTTTGTTATTGCTAGGTATTCCTGGCCACTTTTCATATGGCATGCTTTAGACATTACAAAGTACCAGTTTTCTTATATTATGGAAGAACTATCACAACTAATTTGGGATTATACATCCAGGAAAATTATAGAAAGTCTTATGAGTTTATAAACCCGATTGAAGAAATATCGATAGGATCTCTAATAAGCTAAATAACCAAACCTTAGGTAAAGGCCTGTGGGAGAGATTAGGTTGGTTTTATCACGTTATAGATGCGGTACGGTTGTCAGGGCAAATGAGATTCCTCAAATTGGGGGTATTGCACTGGGGTCTGTAGAACTAAAGCTAGTTGAGCAGCCTATATGGATAAGGTATGGTGTCAGTCTCGTCTCATAAACCGTTAATGCCCAGCTCTCGCTACGCTCGGGCCCACGCTGTTCCTTTGAGTTTCAGAAACGCTTAGTAATAACGGACGCAAAAACCAAAACACCGATCTGCTGCTTTTTATTTCTTTATTGTTACACCAACATATAAAAGGAATAAACGAACTAAGGTCTGTAAACAAATATTACAATAATAAATCTTTGTATTACTTCTGACGATGTTTCACTCTTCTTTCTGAACAGCGACCGATGAGACGATGACTGTCGTATTGATGCCTCCGCGAAAATTGGGGAAGTTGATTTTAAGCAAACAACCAAGAATTGATCGTTCAATCTTCAACTCCATTGACACTCCCCGGCAAAATACGGATCCAACCCTTTTTTCCACCACGACCAATACACGTTGACTTGGATGCCATTGCGAGAACCTGGGTCACACGGACAGAGCTGAAATGGAAAACAAACAGAAAAGCCAACACACCACAAGCATACTCACAGCACAATCTCACACATCAATGACGACCTGCGCCTCCAGACAGAGACCTCCTCTTGACATCTTGCAACACAATCGCCGCTTGCTAGAATGACTCTTGCAGAATGCAATGTGACCATAGCACCACCTCACGATACTCTACGCACATCCTAATCTACTCACTACCAATTACCACTGAAATCGCTGGTCACTCATTCTGCCTCAGTTCTAATAGCGGTGACGCATGCGAGCCTCAGTCGTTTACACTCTTTCTCCCCGGCGTGTCGGACCGCAGCTAACAATTATCTCCGTGTGCATTTCATTCTCAGCAATAGCCTAGCCTCCCTGGCGTATACGACCCATCTGCTGTCTCTAACATCAATCAATTCATTCACGGATGTAGAAGACTCGAAACAACTTCAGAAGTAATCACGACGAAAATTTTAACAAAATTATGCAATGAAAACAAGGTATGAAAACAACAAGTAAACACAATGAATCCAAAATACACCAATTGATATGACACACCACACGTATATACAAATAGTACACACAACCTCGCCGATCATGTCTTGGTGGAATTCCTTTGAAGAATTGCAGGACTTACACCAGTACGCCTACAACCCTTCTCAGGTTGACGATTGTAATTTGTGGAATGTCCGGACACAAACAAGATTAACCAACAATTACAATAATTGGAACTCACAAATTATTTAACACAAACATATGTACAATCAACACATCAAATGTTGTGGATTCTGACACGACAAACTACCCTTGAAGAACTGTAGGACTTACAGCAGTACGCCTACATTCCTTCTCAGGTTGATGATCCAAGTGGAAGTCGTCCGGACACAAACAGAATTACCAACAGCTAGATGACAGATGATATCAATTCAGTATATACAATATGAACATATGTACAAAATCACACACCGAGCACATTGGACTGCTCATTGATGCGCTACCCTTTGAAGAATTGTAGGACTTACAGCAGTACGCCTACAACCCTTCTCAGGTTGACGCCCTAGGTTGGAAAATCGTCGCAGAGTTCATTTGCTAACTTCCTTCTATCAGCTATATCCTCAAATCTGAACGGCAACACGCCCATGTCATTGTATCGTAGAATATAGATGACGAACAAACACACGACATATCTCATCAACCAAGCGTAGAAACAGAGTAATTTACACCAAAGATAATAACATTCAAATAGTAACTTGAAACTAGAAATGCCTTTATTCGTGCAAGTCAATTTAACAATTACTCTCTCGTTTACACTTGGCTTATCCTCACTAAACTGACCATTGATATTCGTCCTTTCAAACGAACTGATACTAGCATAGTCATTGCACAAGATACTTGAGTTGATGGGCGTCTGTTTCATTGTGGATGACAGCACCAACGATGACTGTGTGACACAAGTTGATGAACTTAGCGGTGGATCAGAAGCTGTTCTTTTTCGGCTTTCAGATAGTTGTCCAACTGCAAGATTACCACCACTGCTGTCTTTCACTACTAGTTCGGGTTTAGCACTATCATCTGATGATAGGTGGGCTACACGCTGATCAATTACACTGACTGTCTCACAAGTATGCACACCTTCTGGAACTGCATCTGCGTTCAATTCT